TAATGTCAACAAAGCCTGGGTGCCAAACTTTGTAAAACTGTGTCAGAGCTAGATCTTTAAATAATTATTATAACTGATATATCTACTAGTTATTTGCTAAGAGTAACAGAATTATATATACAAACCTCTTATGAACTAAAATAGTACTTCTGCACACTTTTCTTTGCAAGAGTTCTATTAACCTAGAATATACTCAAGGGGTTTGGAAAACTTTTTGACTTTCATTTATCTGTATAAGCCTAAATAATAACCAAATTTATTAAGTTATGCCAGTTTGAATGGCATAACATTTCTTTAAAATTTCCTTCTTGAACTCTGTATTACCTCAAAAAGCGATCTATTCACWAATGGTCTGAGAAGCATAAATAAATCAAAGCATGTATTACATATATTTAATACCAATACAATATATGATCAACATTGTATTACTATAATTGTCAAGCTCTACTTGAAAGCCTTTAAAAAAAAATGACTCTGGGAGAATTAAGCTATTTTATTTTACATGTAATAGTAGGCATAAAGCAAAGTTTATGTATTTAGTTTTCTCATTTTCTATTGTATTTCCACAAACCTTTAARATATAATTTTAGGTATTTTTCTATCAATAAGGCCAGATAGTTTTTTGTTTTTTTTTTATAGGTAACTGAAGGTTTTAAGAGGGTTTAGACTGAAAAATCAGGTACCATTTAGTCATAACATCATATAAAGACCCTTAATCAGGAGAAAAGATTTTTAACATTATTGCTTAAGTCTTATAAAAATAGTGAATTTTAACCAAATTGATCTCTCTCCAGTCTTGTTTCCTTTACTCTTAAGTCATACTRTTTGGCAAGTAATATAGGTAATGATGTAATTTTAAAATTAAATTAACCGTGAATAAACTGTAATTTGTTGGTCAGTGCATATATTTTGCCCCCACTTTACCTAGGATAGTCCTCTTGGAAAAAGTGACTATCCCACATGGAAAACAAAAACAAACAAAAACAATGCAGAACTTCATTTCTTCCTTGAARATTTTCAAGTATTATAGGAACAAAAGGTCCACAAAGAGGGRAAAAAAAAAAMTGATTAAAAAGTTGACATTTTCATCTTGCTTTAATAATTATAAGATAACAGAAGTATAAAAAACAAATGTCCCTTATTATTTCTTTGTTTAACATAATAATAATACACTAAGAAATACTGCAATTACACTCGAGCTATTTTCCAGCTTCTTCAAGTAAGGGACRTAACTATGGTTCTACCAATGAGAAGATATGAATAATCAATCTTATGGAACGCAAAATATGGCAACACAAAAAGATAAATTGACTTTGSCTTTTAAAAACAAAAACCTAATATGACCCTGAAATGCCTGATTCAACAACAAAAAGTTACAGCAGCAAGCCACCACTTCACCACACATTCAGAATTCTGAAATAGGCAACAGCCCTCCCCCAACYTCAATCTGTAATGTCTTCTTTTTGTTTTTCCTGCTTTTTGGTTGTAGGTAGTTCAAGGCTTGCCCACTGCATAGGTTCAGCTTTTCTCATGGTGATCTCAATCTTTGTTGCAGTCATAGTTACATAGCTTCGTTTTACATCAATCACCTGTAACATATCAAGGAGCGTAAGAGTAAATAAACTTGGGTCTCATTTAGTCCAGAGGAAAATATTGGTCTTCCTTATTCTAAAAATCCCAATCTCAAGCCTCTAAGGCCATTTAAATGTATACCAATATTTAGATTTTTTTGAAGGACAATAAAGTTACAGATCTGTAGTTCACTTATTAAAGTATTTGCCTTTTATTCTACAAATGGTACTTTAAATTACCCGAAATTTTGATGGGTTCATAATACTTACACCCCATAATTTGACATTTTGATGAAATTCCTTCTCTCCTTCAAATACGATGTGTACATTTAACTAAAAAAAAAGATAGAAGAGAAAAATTTACTTAAAGTTTCACACTGAGGATGAAAAAATACCACATTATCAGACAAGTTTTATAAGCTACTCTATCTCCAATATGCTTTAGGAAAAAACCGTATAATAAATTTTAGATTTTCATTCATAAAAGTTTCCATGAATATAATTTAAAATTATTTTTTGATGTGGAAAAGACTTTTTGTTTTTGGTAATGGGAATTGAAACCTCAGGGATACTTGGGCACTGAACTACATTCCCAGCTTTTATTTTTTATTTTGAGACAGGATCTCAATAAGTTTCTGAGTCTAGACTTGAACTTGGGAGTCTCCTGCCTCCATCTCTCCAGATGCTAGGATTACAGGCATTGTCATCATGCCCAGTTTATATGGGAAAGATTTTAAAATCCATTGAAATAAGAACAGTATTTCATAATGCAGTAATGTCAAAACAATGTGAGCAAGACAAGTTAGATTCAGCTGTTTAGTGTACTTACCAATGTACTATTAGCTTCTACTCGACTAAGTTCTGGAAGTGAATTTTTAGCATATACTGAAATGGTGACTTCACCTCCAGTCTGATGCCAGTCATGTCTACATGGAACAACTTTTTTCCCCTGAAATGTAAGAAGACCTTTATAAGTTTAAAAAGCACCATATAATTAACTTGTTCAAAAGAAGAATTTGACCCATGAAAAGTAGAGGAAAATTACTATGCAAATTAAGAACATAATGTTTTTAGGACAATCAACTCCCAAAGTTTCCACCAAGAGGTTTAAACTATAAAATAACACAATACAAGAGTATTTTAATAGTTAAATCCTATTATCCACTAAGTACCTCTTTTAAAACATTCTTTGAAGACTGAAAATTAGAAAGCATGAAAACATTAGAAAACATTCTTTGAAGACTGAAAATTAGAAAGCTTCAGTGGGATAAACAAGACAACAACTTAACTTCAAATATGCAAACCTTCAATATATTTTCTACAAGTAATAATAATTTGGGAGAAAAAATGACCATTTGCACATAATCCTCTTGTCCTTATGTATTATTCAATACAAAAAATAAAGGTTTCTATATTTGAAGTTAAGTTGTTGTCTTGGGGATGTGACTCAGTGGTTAAGCATCCCTGGGTTCAATCCCCAGTATGAAAAAGTTTTTTTAAAAAAGTACAATTTGGGGGCTGGGGTTATATCTCAGAGGTAGAACGCTTGCCTCGCATGGGTTCGATCCTCAGTACCACATAAAAATAAATAAAATAAAGATATTATTGTGTCCATCTGAACTGAAAAGGGTCATTATTTGGAGTTTATTAGTGTCAGTACAGCATGAAAGATTAATTAATATTTCCCCAGAGTAAGCAAAGGAATTCAGAAGAATTCTACTGAAACAAGTCTGCAATCTACTCCTTGGCCACTAGATGAGGCATTTGTGCATCTGTAAAAGTTTTAAGTGGCCAAAAACAACAACAAAACATAATGTGGGAACAGGATTTGAAATTAATTTTCATAATAAGCTTCACTTTAACAGGCTCTAGTATTTCACAAAAACCCATATACCTACACCAACATATGCAACAGCTATTTTGCTCAACAGGCAGTGCTGAGAGTTTGATTCAGACCAGTTTTTTCTGTGGTGTAGGGGTTGGGCACGATGAAGGTGATGACGACAACAAAGAAGGATACATTAACAAAATATTAATAAAATATTTGTGAGGGTGAGAATTCCTCTATAAATATAAAATGAAAGATTTTCAAATCTCTCAAAAATGACTCAAACACAATTCAGTGTCATTATTTTGAAAAGGTTACTTACAGCATCCTTTTTAGTCCACACGTGTTTCCCTGTTGTACAGCCTTCTTGGGCTAAGAAGGTATTAAAGTCAGAGGTTTTCCTTCTACAACAGCTCCAATATTTCATCCTTCAAATAATTATAAAAAATTTTCAGAAGTAAAACCTCACAATCAATTAAATATAGAAATATTATAGTGCAAGTATAATTTAAAAATCAGGGCAACTTTAGTATTTACCAGTGCTTAAGTTACATTACAGTAAAAATGGACACACATGAGAAAAGACAATAATTTAAAAAGGAGAATGCCACTTATTATGTAAATTTGAAGCTCCTGAGCATAGACTAAAAACTATCACAAAATTCCAATCAATTTTCCACTGGTAGCCTGCACTCCAGTGTCCTCATGAAGCTAACAAAAAGTGATACAACAAGATTTATAATCATTTCATTTCAATAACCTGGTAAAGACTATGAAATTAACAACTAATGTTTACACAACCTGTGATGGTCAATCTCAAAGTAGAAGAAAATTATCATTCTTTAAGAAAAATCTAACACAGGAAGCTAAAATTGCAACAGTTTCAGGTTTGAGCCTTGAAACATAAGGAAACAGAGGAAGATTTTGAAAGCACTCCTATTTCTTTAAACTACAGACAACCTCTCAATTGAAGACTGGAAAAATAGGAGTTTTCCTGGGTAGTAATGCCTTAATTGCCCCTGAGCCAAAATTCTAAATGTGCTGCCAAATGTCAGACAGTCTTTCAAACAAAAAAGAATTTAGCCCAACTAAGAAGAGCATCACATTGAAATGGAAAATACAGTGTTTAAATCACAATGGCCACTTAATAACTGTAATATTGTTTTTCTTCTGTTAAGACAAATCCCGTATTTTTAAGTTACTATAAAAATTAAACAGCAATTTAAGTAGAATACTTAATAACACTGCATGGTAAGTACCTAAATATATGAAGGTTTAAGTTTCTAATCTCTACCATAAGGTATTTTAATTAGTCATGCATAAGTTACCCCTCATGGAAAATAGGTACTCCAGAATGATATACACAAACTTCTTCTAGACTCTGTAGACCCTGATATGTCTAAAAGAGAAAAGAAAAAAACAAATTTAGCTGCCTTATCTCTCAGTTGTATCTTACACATATTTGTTAGTACTCCATTGCAGGCCATTCCAATAAGAAATAAAAAATTATTCCATTTTACATATGGTTAAATTTTAGGCTCCTGTGAAAAGGCAAATAAAAAAGTAGGCAATAGATAACATATTAAATGTTTTCATAGCCTGAAATTCAACCATATTCATGTATTTAAATTTACAGAAACATTCAAAATAGATTAGAATCTTCATCAGAAAGAGATACAGCATGATTAGGTATATAACAAACTCTGTTAGCATTATCAATTAACAAATTGATAATGCTAACAGAAATCTAATACATAATTCTGGAAATTCTATAGTGCTGGTTATTTCTCTTCCCTCAAATGGTAAAATGAGCTGCAGATGTACTTATATTTATATCTATGGATCTCTTCATGGTTTGTTTGTATGATCTAGGCCCCATAAACTGCTATATGTAAAATCTCTACAGATGAATTCACAAGTTAGATTAATAAAACATGGAAGCAGCCAGCAGCCTATTTTCTCTCTACTATTGTATTTATAGTAACTATCTACATGAACAGAACATAAAATTTGATGTTTACATTTTGTAAATCTGAAGTATTAAGCGTGTTTATTTCCTAAGTTATCATGTGAGCACATAAATTCCAGTATGTTAGATTTTAAACTTATCACCATAACTCCCCATGTCTATTCTTCCCATCTTATATGATGGCATCATAAGTAGTCTCTCAAAATCAATATCTGTAAGTGCTCTTTAGTTTCTCCACTCCGTCCACCTACATGTAGTCTATCATGAAATCCTGTTACTCTGAAAAAATCTATTGGTTTAATTTCCTAGCCCTACTCATGACCTAGCAGACTTTAGGTAATTACACTATACAAAGTTTTCTACTACCTCATGTCTCATCCTTTGATTTCTGCTAACTCAGTAAAATATCTAATTACTATCACTTTCTTAATTTATAAAGTGTGAGTGATTTACCTCACACCTAATACAATAATTAGCTCCAGGTGCTTTCCACATTTAAATGTGCCCCTGTATGAGAAAATATTCATGGCAACTCAAAAAAGAACAAAATGAAACAAAATAAAAAATATCAAAGCCATGACTATATGCAACAAACATGAACCTACCAAACAAAAGATGACAAAAAAGAAAGTACATGCTCTATGATTCTATTTATATTAAATTTAAAAATTGGCACAACTAATGTTGATAGAAAAATGCAGTATCCTTTGCAGAAGGGAAAAATGAATGGTAAGAGTGCTCTACCATGATGATGTGTTTCCTCTGAAAATCCCTTAGCTATAAACTTGTATTTGTACATGATTTAACAAATTTCTGTTATATACCTCCATGAAAAAGATTTAAAATTTCTATAATGGTCTCCATAATCTAAAGTAAGGTCTTACTTCCCAGCACTATTAAGATTTGACCATTACTATTACTAACCTCTTTTAATCTCAATTCCACAATAGCAAATTGAATAACATTCCTATTACTCAACGTTCTCTTTATACTATTGCTATCACAGCTACTAAAATACATTTTGCCCCCATATTTTCATAACTCTCATTCATTGTTTTCAAAACTCACCTAACACTTTCTCTTTGATCTTCTTTCTTCCATTACTCTACTATTTGTACTGCCTTCACTCCAAGAATTAATAATTTCCTTTTATCTACTACTTCTACCTCATATACATATGAATAATTTTATTTCCACCCCTTAATCAGCAACCTGATTTTAAACTTAACAGAAGAGAAAAACAAAGACCTGGCCTCTCATCATCTTCACTTTTTCATTTAATGGCAACAGCAATCACCCAGATGTTCAAGTCCCAACTTCCTTTTACATGCAATTCATTAGCAAGTGCTACCAATATTTCCAATTATACTATACATTCTACATGTATTTGCCATGTCAGGCACTGTTCAAAGCATCAAGAGATAAAAAGAACAAACCAAAACATTATAAACCTTAGATGAGTGGTGGGACAAGTTAGATAGTAGTGAAATGACATAAAGTTTTAAAGGCCATGGAGAGAAAAAGAGAGGGAGAAAATGTTTACAAAGTAAGCAGGATAAGGTCTCATTGAGATGTTTGATCATATTGCATACATAACAATTCTCAATAAACTCTAATCTCTCTGTCCATAATAGCATCCAAGCTGGTTTCTCTTCCAATTCCACTGCGGTTCTTCAGCATATATTGGCTACTCACTAGTCACAGACATCCTTTTGTAACTCCTAAGATAGGTAATTTTCCATCACACTTCGCTTGACTGAATTTGTTATTCCTTGAATAGCCAAGCTCTAACACCTCTACTCATGCTGCTTGCTCTATCTATAGCACTCTTCCCCCAGGTATACAACTCATTTACTATATTATAAAGAATTCTGATTCTGTCACCATGTAAAAAAGAACATAACTGACAATTTTATTAAATGATAACTCCCAACTCCAAACACTCTAGTTCCTTCTTTTTACTTGTTTCATATCTACCTGAATTCATATTTAACATTTTTTTTTTTTTGGTATTTGCGCCCATACTAGAATACCAGCTCCATAAAAAAGAGATTTTTTTGGGTAATAACCAGTATTTCCCACCTCTACAACGTACTGCACATAGAAAGTGCTTATAAATGGTGATTAGACAGACTCACATGATTCTAGTCTGTATTCCATGTTTACAGCCCTACTCCTCAGCATACTGCCAAATGTATAACAGGCACACAACTAATTTCTAAATTGAGAAAACTGCACCCTCTTTCTTCAAAATTAAAATTCTACTTCATAACATAATAAGATTTATAATACATACCTTTGAACACCCTCCATTTTTACATGAGGTCCCAATCTTAATTTCATCACTGTCATCTTCTAAAATGAAAATAAATTAATAAATAAATAAATAACAGAAGTTCACTGCAGTGCCATTCTTAAGATGCAACTTTTCTACAAAAAGTCATATAATATTCATCCACTATAATTAGGTTTTCTTCTGTAGTGTCAAAAGGATATATGTTGTATTTTTATTCTATAACGTACTACTTATCTAATAACCACGTCAAAGAGAATTTATGAAAGGATAATTTTGTCCTACAGTATTAGGTATATGACATAGAACATTAAATATATTTTACATCATACACAAAAAAACATTTTTGATTATCAAAGAAATTAAACTATTAAAAAATAATAAACCATAGAGAAAGAAAAACTAAGTAGATTCTCAAATTTAATAGAATAAACTACACATTTATTCTGAGCTACTATTTTGCATTTGGGAAAAATATTTTTATTATAATGTGTCAATTGGTCATATTTAGTAAACTTTTGGTTGAAAGTTTATTGGATAGAAAAAATTATAATACAATAAAACAAAATCTTACCTTTCTTATCTTCTTCATTCCCAGATGATAGTTTAAGTTTATCAAGCGCTTGTTTTAGGGAGGCAGATATTTTTAATTCCAAATTTGTCATGGGTTCATCTGGGCTGGAGAATTTTGAAACTCTGTTACTATTATTAATGTACCAAATATGTCCTTGTAATCAAACTAAAAAAACCTTAAAACCTTCTTTTTGAGATGTTAAATGCTTTATGAATCCAGTTATTCTTAATAAGAAGTATCTTACAAATAGTTGCTATATTTTACAATCTACATTTTAGCAGAAAAGATCTTTCTTATGTTAAAACATTAAGTCTCAAGTAATTACATTATTGTAGGCACATTCAATTAATAATCATCAGGACCAGTGGAAAGAGAGTAAAGACTAGGAATCTATGTTTGACAAGATGAGTAACTCCGAGGAAGGGGCTGTGGAATTCTTCTACGTTTCATGCCCAAGTAAAATGCTATGCACACAACATACAGGCAGTGAATCCATACTCATTTCTACCAGTAGGGAGGTTTACTATATATGGATACTGGTAGATGGAACTATAAATTCAGATACAATTGTATGGGAAGAGGTTAAAAACAAAATCCTCGTAACATTTCATAATGGTTAAGTTTTATATTTCCACTTTAAGTCCATTCAAAAATATCAAGAATATTAATAAATAAAGCAATAAAAGTAAAAATTCTATTCATGCTATACCCACAATGAAAAAAACTGACATTAACAAGTGCATAAAAATCTTTATCCTCATAATTTCTGTAGTATCATCAAATTAATTAGGATAAAATGTTTCCTTATCTTTTTCCAGTAATTTTTCAAATTGGCTAACAAGGAATTTGATAAGTATCCCAGGATTATGGATAAATGGAGTTGGAGTAAAATAATTTACTGAATAGTTTAACAATGGTCTGTACTCAAGAATACTAATGAGCAAACACTAAAAGTCTCTTGGGGATCTGATCTTGGTCCCATATTATTCAATACTTTATAAATATGTTCAATTAAGATCAATAGAGAAAACGTCGGGAACACTGTAAGTTCTCAGTATGAACACATATTTCAATAGGTGTTGTCAATTATTTCTCAGAGCTGTTTAAAAAAAAATTTTACCATCTACTTAGAGTTCTGTAGTTTGGTTCTAAAACATTCAGTACTTAACGTGCATTATGAAGACCTAGCCTAACAAAAGTAAACCCAATATGCCGTCTGTTTGATTAGAAAATGATTATGAAGAACTGAATTTTAGTTAAAAATGAGCAAAAGCTAGATTAAGAGACTTTAAAGAAATATGCCTTCAGAATCAAATGCATTAAAATATTCCTCAGTATTAGTAACAACAGTTTTTAGGCATCTAAAAGTAAAGATTAATGTTTGGATTAATGTTTAAGATTAAGATCAATAGAGAAAAAGTTAGGAATACCATCAGTTCTCAGAATTCATGCAAGAACAACCACTTCACAGAACTTCACCATGCCACAATGAAGACACATGCCAAGTGAAAAAAAAAAAGTGTGAATCCCTTACCCTGGTAATAGATAAATCTGTAGTTTTGATGGTATGACAAACAAATCTGCAATGAAGTTTCACTGTGTACATGCCTCAAGTTGAGTGGGGATAAAATTAAAGGCTCATTTAAGAGAAAAATGCTATCATGCAAAATGATAAATAGAAATATCATGAACAAATGCTATTATTCAAGTGTGACAAAAATAAGCAACTATAAAAGGTATACCTTGGCCTTTTTATCGCTTCTACTGGTTTAGGGGCTTGAATTATGTGCTCCTGAAATTTGGGTTTCAATTCAGATAGTTCTTTCTTTTCAGTAGTCTTGACTTCAGGCTTGACAGGCTCAGGTGGCTTCTCACTATTATGTCTACCTTTTGTACAGCCCTGTTAGTGAAAGGCATTCATTAAGAGTTATCTTGTCATATGCCACAATAGAAACACTTTTATTATGTTGATTTATTTTAATGAACTAAATATATTTGCTAAATTTGAAAATGAGTTTGTACCTCTAAATATTTATATGCAGTTTTTGTACTCAAGATCTCAATTTGTGTACCAGTTCTACCTAAAAGCTGTATGACCTTAAGCAAGATAATCTTTCAAAATCTTATTCCTTACCTGTAAAATACAGGCCACAATACTGAACTTTTTTTTATTAGTAGAATATAAAATAATGTTATATCTCAATGGTATCTTTATATATCATAACAGTTTATTTCTCCTAACTGAAAATACTTTAAATGGTTGCCCACCACTCACTTTCTTCTGTGATGTTCTTTTAATACTGCTAACGTCAAAAACATAAAATAACCAATGAATAATTAATATCTTAAAATCTTATTTCCTAAGCAGATAAATTATTATAAAGGCTGTGGAAGGAAGGTGAACTCCATTTTAAAAGTAAAGTGCTATCTGATAGTTGATGAGGATGAGTCAATAGATAACAGAAATCAAGACTACCCAAATCTGGAGCTTCCATAAAATGTACATTAAGGGAGATAATCTAGGGAAAAAACAGTACTTACCACAATGCTTAAGAAATCAGAAAAATCAGTCGTTCTTCTCTTACAGCAAGACCAACCCTATAAAACATAAGAAAAAACTTAAAAACTATTTCTATGGAAAGCACAACCCACTGAAACACTCTTCTTATACTTATTTCCTTGAATCCTGAAGTAACTTCCATATTTTACAGCTTTAAAGTGTTTTTTTCAAATTTTGACTAAAAAAACAAAAAACAAAAAACGGTGATTTGTATTATGGCCTATCGTGAAAGAAAGCACCTTAAAACAAATTGCTTATTTTTAAGAATAGTTCCTAATTTTCAGAAGAAAAACATTTTACGCTGTACTACACTATGTGATTTTTGAACAAAATATCAAGTGCCTTAAAAAAATGGCTGTGAAGTTATCATCTCTACTAACGTATTACAGAGAGTAGGGAAAAGAAAGGCAGAAATCTCAAGACATGAGAGGCCCCAAATTTGGATTAGGGACTAACTTTGTATATGCTCAACTACATAAAGAATTTGGTATTGAGTTTTTACACAACATGTACTTTCAGATTTCTTTTTTTTTTTTGAAGAAAATTTTAAGCACCTATAACCCAATTTTCCTTTTAAGTTTTATTTTCTCTGAATAGAGATGTAGGAAACCAATTCCCACCACCTTAGACTGTTTAATAGCATTGATAGCGTTATCTCAAAACAGTTATCCTGTCAGAAAGATTTGATGTCTTACCATATATACACAATTAAATCAAATACTGGGATACACATATGACACAAGGTAGCTATTTCAAATTCTACTCTGGGTCTTTTGCTAGTCCTCAGTAAAATAAGAAAAGGATCAATATAAAGCATAAGGTTGTTAACTGTCTTTTCTTGAGAAGAACTTTCCTAGAGTATTATATTCTTCTAGCATTAAAATGTCCTATCTTTTACAAGTTTAATTTCCTACTTGATTAAATAGAAAACTAGTGACTTTATACTGATGCACAAATTTCACCCAAACAGTCTGGGTTGTGAAATCCAATAATCTTGGAAAGTTTAAGTCCACAAAAAGCGTTAATATCGCAGAGATAATAATAAACAGTACAACCACAAAACTGAGAAACAGAAAAATTACTTCACTTTAGAAACTTGCTGAACAGATACATGAATGGAGATATGCTACAAAAATCATTAGCCCAGAGGTGACATTGGAGAGCAAATAAACAGAATGAGAAAAAATAGGAAGCTAAAGATTGCAAAGTCAAGTATTTCTACTGTTAGCAGAGAGGAGGAAATAGTATAGGGAGAAAAGAAATAAAAGAAAAATAATCAATAAATGACAATCCAGAAAAGAGAAAAATCCCCATTTCCTTCCCCCACCAGCAAAATAAATATCCCCACAGAAACACAGTTTTCATCCCCATCAAGTTTTGTAAAAAGAGTTAAATCTCAAAGTGCCCTAATGAAGTTCTGTTCTCCCCACTCAGAACTAAGCTAACATAAAACTGTTATTCACTATACAACTTTGAATTTGATTGTGCGTCAGTTAAATGCCAAAAGAGTCCAACTGCTTTCTGGAAGATCAACAGAACATTCAAAAGAAATCAACAACATTTAAACATATAAGGTTATTTATGTTCCTCAGCATAAAAGCAGTAGTACCTGTACCTAAAACCAGGACAGCCACCAGGAAGCATTTTCTTTTAGATACACAAAGGAAACTCCTCAAATGTATCCGTTTTTCATTTTTTTTAAAGTCATCATAAAAAATATGGTCAGAAAACACTCTATTATTTCTGGTAATTCTCCAGAACATTAAGGAAATACAGGTGAAAAACTGGTAATCTCTCTCTTCAGTAAACATATTTTAAACTTAGCATGTTTGTAACAATCATTCCTAAAGTTCATAGCTTTTTTTATTGGCCAACAGTGATAAACCGAAAGACCGAGATTCATCATAACTGCTTCGATTTCCCTTCAAAATTAGAAAGTAAAGAAATCATTAGGAAAATGATTTGGACTGCAAATAAAATATTTTATAACCGGTAAACATCATCATTCACTGTCTTCTTTGCTTTTAGTGGAATACACACATAAAGCCCCCCACAATGGTCATTTGAAAAGCAGACATGCCAGTAAAAAAAGATGAGAAAATATTTACTATTACATTTCTAAATGTATTATACAAATAGGAAGAAACTGAAAATATATATAGTTCCTACCTTTAATGCATCATGAAAGACTGGAACACCTGGGTGATATGTGCAAGCATCTGGTCAAAAATGAAAAGAAAAAATAAGGCATTCTTTACAATGTATGTAGAAAAAATGCATACAACACTATTTCCTTCAGTTTGCTAAGATTTAATTCCTTTTCCAAATGTACATAACACTGAAGATCCTTGAAAATTCACTAATGCTTGGTTGATGCACAGCACAAAGTGCCTTATATTATATAAGTAACTGTTAAGATTTTAATTCAAGAGCATGATGCCCATAGATAAAAATTCTGAGGGGGAAAAAAAGCAAATACAGAACAGTTTAAGGATTAATAACATTATATATTCTATATTCTTCTAATCTTTGTGGTAAACTTTGTTTATTATCAAACTTCAATGCCTAAGATTATGAACATACTTCTATTCTGTTTTTACAAAAATATTATTAAACTTAAGTGTACCTACATGCCCTGATCCATAAAGGTTGCTCAAGAGATTTCCCCAAAACATATTTTGGAAGAACAGGATCCACATTTTAAACAACTTGTAATATCTAACTACTAATTTAACTGTCCTAAACAGGTTATCAATTCCTAGGTACAAACCTCATTAAAAAGAAGTGTAAATCCTACACTCATTGGGGTTGTCATGATCATTCAGTGCTTCTGTTTCCCAACCCCATTATGCCACCAATCTTTACTTAACTCTCTTAAAAAATTTTATTTATTACAATTAGCAATGTAGAATATTTTGTAAAAAAAAATAGATAATAGATAATATAGACACACTTATTCTCAGGCTAGATAGCAAATGAACTTAGAGAAACTGTCAACTTGCACCTCTGTAATTTTCTCATGAGGCTACCTCACTCAAGCTCTTTAGTCTGTTTATCTTTCCATCCTCTACCTGATTTCTGTGTTACCTTAAAATTATTAATTCCTTGTACCCAGAGCAATTTCCTTATCCTGAATTAATTATCCTTATCCAATATTACTTAATTAGTAACCATGTGTTATATAAATACTATACTAATGTGGTCAGAAAGTGTTAGGTATTTTCCTAGTACAGCAAATAAGCCCATGTATTAGGAAGAGATTATGAAAAAGAAAGTTGGCAGTTGAAATGTGTATGCAGGACAGGAAATTGAAAGGGGAGTAGAAGTAGAGAAGAAATATGGTATTGTCTAATATTAAATTTAATGTACAGACATAAAGTCTACAATGTATAATATAAATTGTCTGAGGCAATAGTCCTCTTAACAATGGTCAGTTCTGGCAGAATCGCAGCAGGAATGACTCAGATCTTAATCCTATAACTAGTATGGACAAAATTAGAAAATCACTGTTTACAAAAGCTAGTAACAAGCAGATGGACATTTTCTTCTTTAGCTTTTATCAGGCTTGCCAGTTTTGTTTAAATCAAATTTTATAGATTAAGAACCTACAACACCACAGTGGTTAACTATCAAGAGCTTTTCACATTGGGTCTGACCCTGGCTAAAATTCTCATTGTATTGCTCTTCAGTTTCTTCATATGTGTGGATTAAATAAAATACTATCTGAAAGTTTTGCTTTTCCCTAAAGTATTTTAATATATGCAAGTCACCAACCATGTCTTTTTTTACTTAATCACCTGCTAAATTTGTATTACAAACTAAAATGTCTATCATCTTAGAATAGGGTCTGATTTTTGTTCATAGGGAAAAAATCTTCAGAGAAATCAATAAGTATGATAATTATGCCACACCACCAAGAAACAAAGTACTGAGTGTAGATTAAGATTTTTTAAAGAATGATGGAACCAGCCATCTAGCTCCATGCAAGAGATAACTTGGAACTTGCTTGTACCTTCAGTTTTACCCATTTAATATGCCATTTTAGTTATTGTACAAGGTCAATCCTCTCATATTCTATAAAAAGTCTCTCCTAATCAAGTCTACAGTGTGTTTTTAGTTATCTTCTAATCCTTACTATCATCTCCTTGATCTTCCATTCAACCAATTTACTTAGCCTATTTATCCAAAGTCTCTAAAAATAATTCCCACTTTTCTTAAGTGAATAAACTTTCACCAATCTTATTGGAATTTCCTATTGCATCTAGTACTGTTGACCACCAATCCATGGGGCTGTTTACACCTTTACACCGTTGGCTTTCCTGGTCCCTCTTCTTTTTCAGGAACAGCACCATTTCCACATGGACACACTGACTTCCAACAAAAAGTTTTAACTCCTCTGAGCTGAAGATCCAAAGATAACTTCCTAAAAACACCATTCATTTTTTACACAAGGCGATCAACATTACCAACATTAGACACTAAAAATTCCTCTTCTCAAGTTTGTTACCCACTGAAACATCTTGACATTCCCTTTGGGTAATATCACGTTTATATTATAAAAATGTCAAGGACAGTAACTTGAGTATACATAAACTGGGTTTATCTTTTCCTTAAAAGCTTGCACCAATGATCTTATTTTAAATGATGTCACCAATTCACCTGCCTGCCAAGATAAATATTTCAAATATCTTAATCTCTTTCACAAAGCCGAACCTCGTTACTGTCATGTTGAATTCCTTTGATCTATTAAATGGTTCTATTACTACATACTTAACAGAGTTGCTGTGGTAAAGTGACAGACTAATGTCTGGGATAAAAAAAAAAAAAAAAACCACAATAAATGCTAGCTGAATTTAAGAAAGTACTATCATTTCCTATAATATTCAAGGAATCAGCTTAATTCCTTCTTCCATTTAAGAATCAAATTAAGATTCGGTGGTTATTTCCCAGCGTTAACCTAGTGTAGTTGCTTTCATTTTACATCTGGAACTCTACACCTAAGCGCTGTAGGGATACTTCGCTAGGGCACTTTGAAAATGGCATATTAAAACGAAGAGGTCATTGCAAAGAATATACAAATTCTTTTGCAAAGGATAATGAAATGTGCCACCACGGCGGCTGTGTCAAAACTCAGAGAAGAAAAATCAAGCAATTTCTCTAACCAAAGAAAACTTTTTGGTAGAGCAGACTTTCAAGACAAACTTCTCTACTAAAAATGAGGCAAAACTTAAATGCTAGGCTAACCGGCTGCCCATCGCTCTTCCTTTTGCTCTCTCTCTATACCAGCACTCTCCCCAAGAAATCACGGTCAACAATACTAGGGGAACCGCAAAGCAAGCTAGCAGGGCTCCTTAACTTTTAACTTCCCAAGGAGACTGCGGGAACGCAGGTTAAGAGTGTTCGTTCAAAACTGGAGGCGAAATACGAGAGTGAGGGTCGACCGGGAGACACGTGGATCCAGTCGGAGCTACGGAGCAGGGTTTTCGCCGGTGCAAGAAGGCTGCCGGATGCTGGCGCTCGCTAGGCGCCGAGCTGGGGGAAGGCGGCAGGGGTCTCCAGCAGCTGCGGAGGCCCAGGAGGGGCGCCGGCCCGCGCGGCGCCACCGCGGCTCGCGGAGGACCCGGAGGCCTCCAGCGAGATCGCTGGGTGGCGAGAGGGGGAGCTGGCAGCGCGGTTCTCTTACCATCGGTATTGTTCTCGGGGTCGAAGCGCTGGCCGCAGCCTCGATTATAGCATAGCAGGGCCATCTTCTTCTCCCACCGTTACAGGCAAGGACCAAACACCGGGAACCGCAGGACAGTGCGACAGACTCTGCTGTAGCAAGCGCTGACCTGAATCTTAGGGCGGCTGCCGGCTTCCGGAAACCGCCGGTTCCGCTTCAGGAACCTTCGCGAATTTTCCGGTCGCGCAGGCGCAGTAGAGAAGAGAAAAGGCGGAGGTGGAGGAGGAGGAGGCGGGATCTCTTGTTGCAGGCCGGGCGGGTAGGTCAGGCTCCCGCGAGTGTAAGCGGAGGTCGGAGGTGTATGCTGGGCAAGTGTAGATTGAAGCGCAAAGAGGAGAAATTGAAGGTATCTGGGGGTTGAGGGGCTGCCCGCGATGGAGTCGCGCCTTGTTGGCCGTGGTCCTTGTTGGCCGTGGTCTCTGTTGCAGCGAGCTGGTCATCTCGCCCCCTCCGCCTTCCTCCACGACCCCGCGTCCTTTTTTTTGGGTTATACTTCAGTTTTGATATTTATTTACCCCTTGACTGCTTCAAAGTGCATACACAATACTACAGTATTTCCACACACCGACCCCGCGCAGATCTCGTAGTGAGTAAATGAGAGGAAGAGTGGAGGAATCTTTTCTTGTAAGTGCGTGTCAGTGTCCATCCGTGTTCACTCTGTTGCTGTGGGCAGCACTGAGGAAGTGCAGGCGTCTAGGCCAATTCTAATAACAGTTGCGGTCAAATCACTTTGGAAGTAGAAAGCACTTAAGATTAATAAAGAAAATTATGGATCAAATACAATGCCAGAAGTGGTTACTATTTCTCCAAGACCCTAGGATACTGGTTGCTATTTCAAATTAGCCTCTGGTTATCCCTTTGCAGGTACTCAGTTCTCTAATTCTGGAACTTCTGGAAAAAATTCAAGTGTTTTTTAAATATTAAGGACAGTAATAGCGTGCTTACAAACAACACTAGGTCTAATTTGTATTTATCAGATGGGGCTTTTGGGAAAAAAATGCTTTTGATGACATAATACTGGATAATTTAAAATGATGGTAGCTAGAAAGTAAAAGTAGAAAGTTGTATAATGCCTCCGTCGATCCCAAGATTGTTCATGAGAGAGTTGTTCAATCCTCCTACCCCAGTTAAAAAAGGCTATTCATTTTCACGTATTCTCTTACTTTCCTTATACTTAACAATATTAACTTTTCATGTAATAATCATGGCATAAACACACGAAATTTATCCTTCACCTAGCCTTGCATAAGTGTTTGTCTATTTTGTTTCATAATTTCTGTTACAAAGATGAGCTGTTTTATTGAATAGCATCCAAAGTTTGGGAAATATATGTTAGAATTAGCATTGTTTGCATGCACCTATGAATGCCTTATTATACTTTTTACAATGCACTGTAGTTTAACTTTTTCTTTTTTAATCTCACCAACTTTCTCAATTGTACCTAAGATTCAATGATCAATTTTTTATATATATGTGTATATATATATGTGTGTGTGTGTGTGTGTGTGTATACACACACACACACACATACACACATGTATTTCCCCTCTTGGGAAAATGTTTGAGCAGTGGCAATACTGGGGTAAAGGGCATAAGCCGTTCTATTTATTTATTTATTTATATAATTTTAATATTTATTTATTTTTAGTTTTCGCAGATGCAACATCTTTGTTTGTACGTGGTGCTGAGGATCAAACCTGGGCCGCACACATGCCAGGCGGGTGCGCTACCTCTTGAGCCACATCCCCAGCCCATATAAGCCGTTTTAAGTAATTTTAATATTTTAAAGATAATATATACATTCAGTTGTTTTCCAAAGACAGTGCCATTTTTAAAAATTTTACCAGCCATGGATATAATAGACCATAGAAATTAATCATACATAATTAGAAATGAAAAGATCAAGCACTCTTAAAAAATTTTTCATCTTGACCAAAGTCATTGTCTGAGTATCTTAGTAGCATGGCAATGTTACTAGGATTATTAGTATATTCACTCTTTAATAGTTTTAATTTTTAGTGCCAGTTGTTTTCTACTCATAGCATTACAATTATAAAATGATTGCTTATAATAGATTTTTTTTTTTCCTTTAGGCACCAGAGATTGAAGTCAGGGGCACTCGACCACTGAGCCATATCCCCAGCCCTATTTTGTATTCTATTTAGAGACAAGGTCTCACTGAGTTGCTTAGCCTCTCTTCTACTGAACTTTGAACTGGTGATTCTCCTGCCTCAACCTCCTGAGATATTGAGATTACAGGCCTGTGCCACCATGCCTGGCTTATAATAGATTCTTTGAAAATGCAGAAGCCTATTAAGAACAAAATAACAAAGTCGACAATAGTTGCATCACTCAGCAATTAATATTGAATTACTAAAATAATTCTTTTAAAGATTTCTGTTCAATGTCCCCCCCTCCAAGGCATTTATAAATACAGATGTTTAAAACAAAGAATAAAAGAAGGAATGGAGTTATAATATGTGGAAACCTTATGTTCTTACTCTGGGTATTTTAATAAATGGTAAAATTTAATTTTTCTTGTGATTAAAAAAATCTGTACAGAAACAGTACAGTCCATTCTATTCCAGATTTCAACTCCTTTCCTAGTCTAGTGCTAACCACAAAGTAAGAAACTCTTAGTTACATGTAGAGTTTATATACAAACCTTCCTATATCCATCCAGCTTTCCCCTCTCCCCAGTCCTAAACATATACAAAGTTACCTTAACTTAAACTATCTTATTATTAATAAAAGACTTAAATAAGTTAATATAAAACTACCATCAGTTCTTTTTGGTGGAAAATAACTATTATTTTAATACTCTTGATTACTTTTCTACATTTTGAAATATTTCTCAAATAATTTTTGGTAAGGGAAAAAGTTGTATATATCTGTAAAAATCATTCAACCTCATTATTTAAATTTTGTGGCAGTATTTTATAAGCAAAGTTTTCATCAATATGGAAATAATAATTTTGAATTAAGATTTACACTACTCTTCTTCCCTAGGTTTATATACAATATTCATGTATGAGTATGTTCATGTGTGTCTGTATGTTTATGTATATGATTTTGTTTGTTGTTTTTATTAACCAGACTAAAATCAGTTTGAAAGATAGGACTGCTTGTTCACGTTCATGTAGTTATCCCTAGAACAGTACTGTTCAATAGAAATATAGTATGAGCCAGAAACGTGAGGACATTTTAAATTTTCTTTTTTTTCTTATAATCTTCCTTTTCAAAATACAAAAAATTAGGGTTTATTTATATATTTTTGATCCATCCTTTTTTTAATCTACATACATGACAATAGTGGAATGCATTACACTCATTATTACCCATTTACAGCACAGTTTTTCATAACTCTCTATAAAGTATGTTCACACCAAATTATGCCATTATACATGAACTCTCTTTTTTGTATTACAATTCTTAATACACATATATACCACAATTTTTCATATCTCTGTTTGTATATAAAGTATATTGATACCAAATTCAAATCTTCATACATGTATTTTGTATAATGATGACATCACATTAATGTAATTTTATATTTAATAATAGCCACACTAAAGAAAGTAAAATAACAGATGAAATTAACTTCAATTATGTTTATCCCAGTGTATCTAAAATATTATCATTTCAACATATACTCAATATAAAGTTTATTATTGAGAATTTTTTTTTTTTTTTTTGCAGTGTCCAAAGTGTCTGTTTTTTTGAATTTAGAACATTTCTCAGCTTGACCCAGCCTGGGAATTGAACCCAGGGGTACTTTAACACAAAGCCACAGCCCTTTTTTATTTTTATTTTGAGACAAGAGTCTTGCTAAGTTGCTGAGGTCATCACTAAATTGTTGAGACTGGACTTGAACTTGGTATTTCTTCTGCCTCAACCTCCCAAGTCTTTGGGATTACGGGCATGTGCCATCTTATCCAGTTCTATCATTCTTTTTTTTTCTTCCTTTTTCTTTCTTTCCCAATACTAAAGATTAAACCCAAGAATGCTCTGCTACTTAGCTACACCCGAGCCTTTTTAAATTTCTTATGTCAAGACAGAGTCTCAACAAGTTGCTGAGTCTAGCCTCAAACTTGTCATCCTTCTGTCTCAACCTCTATAGTCACTGGGATTATAGGCATGTGCCTAGCCATATTTCAGTTTCTCAATAATTACAAGTTGCTAATGGATACTGAATTAGACAGAAATATCCTTCCATTCGTTATCTATTCAGAAAGTATTTTATAGTAATTGAGTGAATAAATTTCGATAAGCCTTTAGAACACTATGTGATACTATTGGAGAAAGGTTGATTAACCTGGGAAGATAGGTACAAAAGCAATTATGAATATAGTGTGTGTGTGTGTGTGTGTGTGTGTGTGAGAGAGAGAGAGAGAGAGAGAGAGAGAGAGAGAGAGAGAGAGAGAGAAATTGAGATTTGAAATCAAGCAGGAGATCAAGATTTCTGAGAGGGCCAAAATATTGCTCAGTATACATGCTGGTAGATGTTTATAATACCAGGAGGATTTTGAGTCTGAGGCCAGCTTGGGTAACTTAGACCCTGTCTCAAAATTAAAAATAAATAAAAAAGGGGGTGAGGGAGGAAGAGCCACAACCAAGGGAAATGGACTGTGTTTAGAAACTAGAAAAGAAAGGAAGCAGATGATCCACTAGAGCCTCCAGACAGGAATGCACCACTGCCAAAACCTTGATTTGAACCCAGTGAGATCTGTGTTGGATTTCTGACCTTGAAAACAACCTTTTGGATCTCCTGTACTCTGTCATGATGTACTTCTCCCTACCTGTTGATTCTACTGTGTGTCAGACCCAATAAAAAGACATTACCTTTCTCAGCATCTTTTCCCACATTTGGCCCAAGGTAACTACTGAGACTGATAGAGTTATTATGGGATTGTCTGGCTAGAAGCTGGGATTTCTAAAACAACTATGGTAGAAGGAACAGCGACCCAAGATCCCTTTGCTTGGCTCTTCTTCTTGCCTTTCATTTACTTCTGTCACCCACTGCCAATCCCACACCTAAAATAGTGTCAGAGACATCAGCATCTGTATCATTCAAAACAGCTTTGGGATCTCCCCTAGTCCTACAGAGTTGGGAAGCAGAAACTGTTTGCTTATTTGTTTGATGTTGCTTTTTCTT